AGCCTTCGGTGCAGCTCCCTATGGGGCCACCAGACCTGCGGCGGGTGTGCCTAAATGGGCGCGGCTGGCGCATGCGAGCGCAGCGACTGGGGCCGTCGGAGGAGCTTTCTATGGGGCCACGAAGCGTTTGACGGGTGTGCGCATGCGAACGCAGCCATTCGGGCCGTCGATGGAGCTCTCTATGGGGGCGGGGCAGGACATGTATGAGGGGTGTGCCAGAATTGGTGCGGTGGGCCCAGGCGAACGCAACCTCTGCGGCCTTCGGTGAAGCTGCCCATGGGACCACGAGGCGAATAAAGGCTGTGCCGAAATCGGCGCGGTGGGCCCATGCGAACGGAGCCACTGGGACCTTCGGTAGAGCTCTCCAGGGGGCCACGAAGCGTGTGAGGAGTGTGCCGAAATGGGTGCGATGGGCGCGTGCGAACGCAGCCACTCGGGCCTTCGATGGAGCTCTCTGTGTGGCCGCGAAACGCGTGAGGGGTGTACCAACATGTGCGCAGTGGGCGCGCGCGAACGCAGCAACTGGGGCCGAAACGTGTGATGGGTGTGCCGGCATGGGTGCGGTGGGCGCATGCAAACGCAGCCACTGGGGCCGTCGGAGGAGCTGTCTATGGGGCCACGAAATGTGTGATGGGTATGCCGACATGCGTACGGTGGGCACATGCGACCGCAGGCACTGGGGCCGTCGGTGAAGATTTCTATGGGGCCACGAAGCGTGTGAGGGGTGTGCTAAAGTGCGTGTGGTGGGCGCAGGCGAACGCAGCCAGTGGGGCCTTCGGTGGGGCTCTCCATGGGGCCACGGAATGTGCGTGAGGGGTGTGCCAAGATGGGCGCGGTGGGCCCAGGCGAATGCAACCAGTGGGGTGTTCGGTGGAGCTGCTCACGGGATCACGAGACGTAAGGGTGTGCCACCATGGGTGCGGTGGGCCCATGCGAACGCAGCCATTGGGACCTTCGGTAGAGCTCTCTGAGGGGCCACGAAGCGTGTAATGCGTGTGCCGAAAAGCGTGCGTGGGACCCGTGCGAGCGCAGCCAGTGGGGCCTTCGATGGACCGATGGAGCTCATTGTGTGGCCACGAAACGCGTGAGGGTTGTGCCAACATGTGTGCGGTGTGCGCATGCGAACGCAACCGTGGAGGCTTTCGGTGGGGTTGCCTATGAGGCCACGAAGCGTGTGAGGGGTGTACTGACATGGTGCGGTGGGCCCAGGCGAACGCAAGCAAACGGGCCTTCGGTGGGGCTCCTTATTTCCGCCACGAAGCGTGTGAGGGATGTAACGAAATTAGTGCGGTGGGCCCCGGCGAACACAGCCACTGGGGCCGTCGGTCGAAGCGTGTGAGGGGTGTGCCGACATGGGTGCGGCGGGCGCATGTGAGCGCAGCCATTGTGGCTTTACGTGGAGTTCCCCATGGCCACAAAGCGTGTGAAGGGTGGGCCGGCACGGTGATTACGGTAATGGAAAGTGTGCTGGCGATGATGATTGTGACGAGGGCATATGGAGAGCAGCCGCAAGGATGGGAGGAAGGAGGAGGGTGAGGTGAAGAGGAAGCAGAGGAAGGAGACGCGGGGGCGCTGTCTCTTCAACACGAGGGCCCAACACCACAGCATGGTTGGGTCAATTAGCTTGGCGAAGGGCCCAGCTATATGCAGCTGTGAATGTCGTCGTTGTATGCACCGCATTTGGAAGAGCTCCCTCGAGGACCACGAAGCGTGTAAGGGGTGTGCCAAACTAGGTGTGGTGAGTGCATGCGGGTCCGTCGGTGGAGCTGTGTGTGTGTGTGTGTGGCCACGGAGAGTGTGAGGGGTGGGCCAGCATGTGTGCGGTGGGCGCATGAGAACGTGCTTTCGGTGGAGCTCTCTAGAGTGCCACGAAGCGTGTAAGGGGTGTGCCGGAATGTGTTGGGTGGGCGCATGCGAACGCAGCCAGGGGGCCTGCGGTGGAGCCTCTATGGGGCCACGAAGCGTGTAAGCGGAGTGCCCGAATGTGTTCGGTGGGCGCATGCCATCGCAGCCACTGGAGCCTTCTGTGGAGCCTCGGACACGGCCATGCAACGTCTGAGGGGTGTGCCGACGTGGGCGCGGTGGGCCCAGGCGAATGCAACCAGTGGGGCCGTCGGTGAAGCTCTTTATGGGGCCTCGAAGCGCGTGATGGGTGTGCCAAAATGGGTGCGGTGGGCCCAGGCGAACGCAGCCACTGGGGCCGTCGGTCGAGCACCGTATGAGGCCACGAAGCGTGCGAGGGGGTCTGCCAGCATGCGTGCGGTGGGCGCATGCGAACGCAGCCGCTGGGGCCGTCGGTGGAGCTCAGTATGGGGCCACGAAGCGTGTGAGGGGTGTGCCAAGATGGGCGCGGTGGGCGCATGCGAGGGCTGGCATGTGGGCCTTCGGTGGAGATCCGTGTGGAGCCACGAAGCGTATGAGGGGCGTGCCGAAAAGGTTGACGAATGCGGAGGGGAGAGGCAGGGATTGGAGAAGGGAGGACTGCGAGGAAGAAGGAGGAGAGGAAAGGATACGCGGGGCGCTGTCTCTGCAAAACGAGGACCCAACACCACAGGATGGTTGGGAAACACCTCAAGACAGGCGAGGGGGAGGGTGCCCCTCCCCGAAGGGACGATGTTGTTTTTGGGGGAAGAGGAAAGAACGCGCTAAACCACCTTAGCTCACAGGGCTGGTGGGATATTTCGGCACCCAATGTCAACAAAAGGAGCTGGGAATAGCACGCACACCCGAACCAAGCAAATCCCCAGCACTCATGGGCAACAACATTCAGCTAGGAAGAGGCAGGAACCACCGAATCAAGCGAGTCCCCAGCACCCTGGGGCAACAAGATCCGCCAGGCTCAGCTGGGAAGAGCCACGCCAAGCAATTCTTCGGCATCCTCAGACAACAGGAACAATATGGAGCAGCTGGGAAGCATATTTACCAAGTACACCGTCGACATCAAGGGGCAACACTACGCTATCAAGAGAGCGCCTAGCATCCAGGGGCCGTCTTTAAGGTGAGAACCTGCCGGTGCAAGCTTAGTTTGCTGAATATTTTTTGAGTTGGGTTAAGAGCGCAGATGCTGTTCAAGTCGGGGTTGGCCTCTCGGCTTAAGCTCCACATAATTCTCAATTCTCGAGCGACAGAAGTCCATAAGTAGGACGATCTCAGAGCTACAACTCCATCTACAAGCATTGGGTCAAGCAGAAGCCTAACCCGGCTGCCTGCAGCAAGTCCCGACACTGTGCCAGCGCAGCAATCTATGTAGCGACGCCCAGAAGGCTGTAACATGGGACACCTCTCGACTCTATTCCTTGAGAGGCTCGCATGAAGTTTATCTGGACAGTCTTGGGGCTGTATTGGACAACTCTTGTGTGGCCGTCCTGGTACCTCTTTTGGCCGTCGCAGGGCCGTCTTCGTGTCGTCTTGCGTCCCACTCGGCCGTCTGTTGAGTCTCTGGGGGCTGTCGTGGGAGCGTCTTGAGGCCTTCTTTGGCCATCGAGGGGCTCTCTTGTTCCATGTCCCTCTTGGGGCCCTACTCGCGCTGTCTGGGCCGTCTGCGATGCTGTCTTGGGCTCTCACTGTGCTCTTTTGGCATCCTGTTGTCTCCTCCAAGGCCCCCCGGGAACCTGCTTGAGAGAGGGCCGGGAATCGAATTTGGTCAAATCCAAAATTGAATTTTGCGGTGTTAAAATAGTTTCAGCCTTCCCAGAAGGCACGTTGGTCTTCTCTTTGGTGTCTTGGAAGGCTCCTGGCGCCGCTTCGCTACAGCATCAGCAATCGTGAGTCCCCAATCTCGTCATCGACCACAGACGGACATGCAATGTATGCAGCTAGACAGGTACACGTAAGGCGAAGGACATGCATATTCCATGTAATTTCGTTGGTCGTGCGACTTTGTATTGCGGAGGGTGTTGGCTTACCTATTGCATGAGAGTGCTCAAGGGTCTCCTGGCGGTGGACGTCCAGTGTCGGTGCGGTGATACACCCTCACCGTATCCCATTGGAAGTGGTCGCCTGCCCGAGCGCAGTGTATGTTCGCATCCGCCCAACATTTTTCCTCGAGGCGCGCTACCGCAATCCCGTGCTGGCATACACCTTGGGATCGGGCAAGGCTTATGTTGGAGATCCAAGGCCCTCGGAGCCGCCTGTGTGTCGTAACTTTTCGCGAGGGGGCGATCTTCGGTTTTGCCGACGCCCGTGATGATCCCTTCTCCTCCGCAAGCCGCACCCGCCGGTGATCCTGCTGCGAGTCCCCGCCGCGCGTGTCACGGCAGGGGCGGTCCACGGGAGCCCCAGTCAACCCGCAGAGTAAGGATGCTCGATAAGGATGCAAGGCCCCTGGCAGCCCAATTTCGAAGCGCTTCGAGCGGGGCGCGGCCAACGACAGTGTCCAAGGATGGACCCAGGAAGCAAGGACGCAAGGGTACCCTGGGAGGGATGCCTATCCTTAGGTCGGGCCTGTCCCCCTATAGGGGGATTTTCGACGAGAAATGAAAAATACCCCCAAAATAGTCAAAAAATAGCCTGGGGACTCTTTTTCGATTATTGTTTGACCTTTTTAGTACATGTTTGGGGTATTTTTAATTTTTCGTCGAAAATCCTCCTGTAGGGGGACACGCCCGACACAGGCCTATCCTCACTCTGCGGGTCTCTCCCCGTTGCTCGGGCCGGACGCGTGGTGCTCTCAGACTCGGAGGGCGGGCGGCCCAGCCCTGCCTCAGCATCGTTTGGCCGATCCCCATCCCCTATCCCCTATCCCCCTCCTCCCCCTCCTCCTCCTCCTCGCCCTCCTCCACCTCCTCCTCCTCCTCCTCCTTTTCCCCCCTCCTCCTCCTCCTCCTCCTCCTCCTCCTCCTCCTCCTCCTCCTCCCTCCTCTTCCTCCTCCATTCTCCTCCTCCTCCTCCTCCTCCTCCTCCTCCTCCTCCTCCTCCCCTCTCCTCCTCCTCCTCCCTCCTCCTCCTCCTCCTCCTCCTCCTCCTCCTCCTCCTCCTCCTCCACGGCCCGGCCGGGGCAGGGCTGGGCGCATGGGGTGCCCGGAGCAGCAGCTGGGGCGCAGGACCGGGGCCGTCGCCTGTGCGCGGGCCAAGCGGGCGGGGATGCACAGATTCGTCTGGAGGATGGGGCGGAGGATTGAAGGAGGCGGAGGAGGGGCGAAGGAGGGGGGTGGGAGGAGGAGGAGGAGGAGGAGGAGGAGGAGGAGGAGGAGGAGGAGGAGGAGGAGGAGGAGGAGAGGAGGAAGAAGAAGAAGAAGAGGAAAACACATAAGGAAAGTAAGACACAACATAATAATAAGACAACAACTTATAATAACCATAACAGTGATAATAAGACGAATACTAATAGTAATCACACTACTACAAATAATAACACGAGAATAATATTAAATGGATACTAGTCAAAATAAACATTATTATGATTATATGAACAACAGAAAGAAGAACACTTACAATAATTTTTATAAGACGAACGATAATCATAATAATAATAGTAATAATAATACTAATAATAATAATACATAATAATAATAGTAATAATAATAATAATAATAATAATAATAATAATAATAATAATAATAATAATAATAATAATAATAATAATAATAATAATAATAAGAGGATGGTGATGAGGAGGAGGAGGGGGAGGGGGAGGAGGAGAAGGAGGAGGAGGAGGAGAAGTCTTGGGGGGTCGTCGCCACACTGCTGTCTCCTCTGGATCGGCATCACCCTCTGGGACCGGGCGTCGTCGGGCAGCGAGCGAGCGCGGACGGGGCCACTGCGCCTCGGACCCTGCCGCCCCGCTGCGGCCAGGAAAGCCCAGCCCCAGCACCCATCGCGGGCCGCCGCCGCGGCCTCGGGAGGCGGCGGTTCGGCCGGCGGGCGGTGGCCGCCGCCGGGGGCGGGCGCCGAGCTGTGGGCGGGGCCAGCTGCTCGGCGGCTCAAGGGAGGGGGCCCCGAGAGGTGGGGCCCTTCAGGGCGAGGGCCCTCAGGCCGCGTAGGGCCTAGGGGCCCCAGCCGCGTGCACCCCATGGGGGCCCCGGGGCCTCGCCCCGCAGGGCCCACATCTTGCCACCGCCGGCGGGCGGGGCACCGCGCTCGCTGCGGCGCGGCCGGGCGCCTCCGCGGCGCGGCGCGGCGGAGCTGGGCCGGGCAGCCGGGTGCGGCCAGAGGGCGCGCCGGGGCGGCGTGGCGACGGGCGTCGCGGTGGCTTGCCGCCAGGCGAGGCAGGTCCGGCAGGGCGGGGTTGAGGGGGCAGGCAGGCGCCGCGTCGCGGGGAGCTGAAAGATCACGAGTACGGCGGGTGCCGGCAGGATAAGCACGATGACGCTGTCCAGAATGGTGAGGCCCTGCATGAGTCCAGCACGGCCGACAAGCACGAGTGCCACGAGCGCGTGAAGCTTGTCGTCGAGCACAGCAAGTACGGCGACTACGGCAGGTACTTCGGCAAGGCCAAGCCGGACGAGACCGACAGCAGGTATTGGCAGTTCGACGTGCACGACAGGTCCGACAGCAAGCGCTGCCAGGACGACGAGCACGACAAGTCCGACAACAAGTGCTGGTAGCACGACGAGTGCGACAATTCTGGCCCAGCAAGGCACGCCGGAACGACGAGCGATGCGGCACGATGAATACGACGATGATCCGCAGCAGTTCCCGGAGAAGCTGTGTAACAGACAGCGCCATGCTGCGCCAGGATAATCACGCGGCCTCCAAACTTCACATGGGGGTCGCGTCTTCCAGCCGCTGGAGATGCGCCACGCGAACCACGGCGCCGCCACCACCACCATTATCATCATCATCATCATCATCATCATCATCATCATCATCATCATCATCATCATCATCATCATCATCATCATCATCGTCATCATCACCATCATCATTCTCACCATCATCATCCCCATCATCGCCATCATGCATCGCCACCATACATCACCATCACCATCACCACCCACCATTTTCTTCATATTCGTCAGCCATAATTTTCATCAGCAATATCATCATCCTTCGTCATCATAAGAATCATTACCATTATCATCAGCATCATCACCATCATCATCAGCATCATCATCACCATCGTCACCATCATTATCATCATACTCACCATTATCATCAACAACAACATCACCATCGTCATCATCATCATCATCATCATCATCATCATCATCATCATCATCATCATCATCATCATCATCATCATCATCATCCTCATCCTCATCCTCATCCTCATCCTCATCCTCATCCTCATCTTCTTCTTCCTCCCCCTCCTCATCATCGTAAACCCTAGGTTCTGATGCGGCGGATTGCGACTCCACCCGCGCTGCAGGAGCGACCGCGCCTTGCATGGCGGATGGATGGATTGCTGGTCGCCCTCCACACATTGTGACGGGCTGGGCGCCCCCCCGCGCCTGCCAGGCTGCACCCTCGACGTGGACGCCAGGCCTGTCGGGCCATCGTGCGCTGCCACGGCATCCAACGATCTGCCAGGCCCTGCCGGAGATCGTGCGTGCAGCCGGGGCGAAGTCGGACTATATGCCCCTCGGGCGTCGACGCAGCGGCGCAGTCCGCAAGGCGAAGCTCTGACGTGATGCAGGCCCATGATGTGCTGCCGGCAGGCCAGGAGGTAACAACATCACCATCACGAGCGCCCCGATCTATTGTTCTACACTCGCTGGCCCCTGGCCTCGGTGCCGCCGTGGGCAGTAGGCGTGCGATTCCTGCGGCGCTCTGCCGGATGCCAGGGCTGGCAGTCGTGGGCGAGAGGGTCCGAGACACGGCCGCACTTTTCTTCCGCACCGCCATGCCGCGCGGTCGGCGTGCAAAGTCGGCTCCGCGAGGCGTGCTGTCGTGCTGCCCTTCGACCAGCCGCGCCACCGACGTGCCATGTGTGACGGCGGCTTGCCTTTGGCGCCGTTCCCTCGCCAGTTCGGCCGCCGTGCACAAGTGCGGCGGCTGTGGAACTCCTGTGCGCAGCCTGGCCGGGCTTTCGGGATCCAGCAGGTAGGTGCGCCCACACATTCCACGCCACCATGCCGCTCGACGGGCGTGCGCGCCCACTGCCTGTTCCTTCTCCTCTCCCCCAGGCTACCACATCTCGGGCGTGCCATGTGCCATGGCTGCCAGGCTTGGCTGCCGCAGGTCGTCGGTCGTTTGGGCCTCCTGTGCGCGGGCGCGCCGAGGTCGTCCCGCCAGCAGTGCAGCGCACAGCCTGGCCGCTCTTCTGAGTTGGGGTTTCAGAAGGTTCGCCGAGAGGGACCGAGGTGTGGGGGGTATTGTTTTTGTGGTGGTGCGCAGTGACTGATGCGTGGCCCCGTCCTCTTCTCTTGGCAGCTCCCGGTGCTCATGCCCAGGTGTCGTTCGGACTGCATCTTTGTTGCCCGAGAGTATTCGCCACGAGGTACAGCATGCAGCGCGGTCATTGCTGTAGCCGAGGGTTCTACCTTCACCTTGGGCACAACCCTTTATGTGTGTGGGTTGTGTCGGGTTCGGGGAGTGGGTATCGCCGGCTCGACAATCACCCTCTCGGTGCTCCCTTTGTAAAAATGAGGCCGTGGCAGTGGGCATGCATTTCAGCGGCCTATGTGACACGTGCTCGCTCAGGATGGGGGAACCCGATTCAGTGGATGCGCCGTACAGTCGAGAGTAGGTCGGATGATAAACACGGTGGAAAAGGGAGGCGGGATGGAGGGTGGAGCATGAAACAGATTCGCCTCAATCTTCCTGTCTGTCCTCCCCCCCCATGGAAGAAATTGGGATCAGCAGTCATAAGCTGGCGATTCCAGATCCAATCGCTGAGACGAAGGGGAGAGACCAGGCAGCAAGCCTGCCCTCTCGACTTCGTCGTCCTCCAGTAGATGGACAATATATTCGAACCCTCACACATTCGAGGGAGATTCTGAATCACCCCCGCGCCCCCGACATCAATGTTGATCTCAGCAAAGGCGGTGCTTTGGGGTTCGAATATTTCTGTCCACTCACGCCCCCCCCGTCGCCACGCCATCAATATTAAATTCGGGGGTTCGGGGGGGCATCTTGGGCCACAGGGTTCGAATATAATGTCCATGTACGGTCCCCCACCTCCTCCACACGTGCCCAAGCAGAATCAAAACATTCGACCCTTGCTACGGTTTGGGGTCCGAGCGCGGGCTCGGGCTGCCGTTGCAAGCCAGGGTTCATACTTCTGCTGCCCAGGTCGTATGACCTGTATGACATCTTTGTGACTTGCCTCCTGAAGTTGCAGTAGGAGGAGGAGGAGGAGGAGGAGGAGGAGGAGGAGGAGGAGGAGGAGGAGGAGGGGTAATTAGGAGGGGGAGGAGGAGCAGGAGGAGGAGGAGGAGGAGGAGGAGGAGGAGTAGAGGCAACGGCGCTCTCGCAACTCTCTGGTCGGACCAGGCGGATGGCGTGCTGCGCCCGATGTATACAGCGGTCCTTGAGAGTTCGTTTCCTGTCGGATTTCGCTGCCTTTCGGATTGCGCGTGGGCCGCCAAGCTCCAAGTGGTAAATGCTGTCGTGCGAGATCACAGCGCGATGTCAGATCAATCAGTGTGGGCACGCCGGGGCACGCAGTTCCCTGCGCGTGCAGCGTCGTGGTCAGCATGGTCTGCTTCCCACTTCGCCTCCGTTCTACGGTCGGCCACCCGCCGCGCGTGCTCGACTGATCTTCGAGCATCCAGCAGCCCGCTCGCCCTTCGTGATTCGACCCGGGCGCTGCTGGCCAGCCCTGGCCACATCGAGGCCCGTTTCCGTCATACGCTGGCCACATGGCCGCTTTCTGCGCCAGTTGGCCGTCTCGCCCGCAGAGCGCCGAACCTTTCCCAACGGCCCCGTCGTCCAGTTCCGCCACGGGCAACGGCCGCCGACAGCAGGGCCCAATGGAATGGATGATGCACCGCGCGCCGGTTTCAACAGGTTGGGCATTGCGACCTGAGGTGTCCCCACAACTCGCGGGACTGCATCGAACACCGCACTTGCTGCCCACTGGTGGCGAGGCTACTATGTTAGATACCTTGGCCTCTGGGGCATGTGTCTGGATAGCTTCCTTTGCCTTGGTGCACTCGGGGTGAAGAGGAGGTCGGCTCAGCATCGTTTTCCATACACGCCGTCTACAGGGCGGCGAGGCATTTCCGTGGTCAGCGGTCGCCAGGTGCGCAGAAATGCTCTGACGCTTGAAAGCACTGCCTTAGCGCCGCGCACAGTCGGCCCAAACTTTGCCGGACTTTCACGGATTCCCCTGGCCAACGTGTCAAGAATACTGGTTTGGCGTGACTCAGGATTGTGAGGGCGCAGCAATTACGTATATTGGCGGTGTTGAAGTGCCAAGACTTGCGTTAGATGGGGGAGCCATTCTCTGCTGGCGCGCGTTCGGGCCGTACCCTTCGTTGCCGGGCCTGCCTGGCGAGTTGCTGTTTCGCGTGGCGTTGCCGCCTGGCTGGATCACCTCAAGCATGCAACGTTTGCTGATTTGACGTGGGGAGGAGAACAACAACATGAGAAGGAAGGGCAGGGCGGAGGAGGAGGAGGAGGAGGAGGAGGAGGAGGAGGAGGAGGAGGAGGAGGAAGAGGAGGAGGGGGAGGAGGAGGAGCAGCGATGGGGGAGGAGGAAGAAGAGGCAGTCAGAGCGTACAGCGCGCAGATCACACTACACCTCGGGGAATGTCAAGTTTCGGTTGGGAGTTGTCCTTCTGTGTTCACGCTCAGTGGGGGAGCGAGGAGGGGAAGAAACGGATTCAGGAGGGAGGGGGAGCTGCATTCTTCTTGCGGAAGGGTGGGGAATGTGCTGGCTTGCATTGATCGCGCCTGGGCCGTGCGTTCGTCGTGCGGGTGCGGCGCGGGCCTTCGGTGCGACGGCCCCTCGCTCCCTGAGCAAAGTCGCGAGAGTTGCGCCGAGGCGCACCTCTTCGTCGTCCGCCTCCTCCTTCTCCTGTGTTCCTCTTGGTGGTGGTGCGGAGGAGGAGGGGGAGGAGGAGGAGGAGGAGGAGGAGGAGGAGGAGGAGGAGGAGGGGGAGGAGGAGGAGGAGGAGGAGGAGGAGGAGGAGGAGGAGGAGGAGGGAGGAGGAGGAGGAGGAGAGGAGGAGGAGGAGGGGGAGGGGAGAGGAGGGGAGGAGGGGGAGGAGGGAACGAGGGAGGCCCACCTGGGCGGATGGCTCGGACTCTTCCAAGCCCAGGACGTTCAAGCTGACGTCGGACTACTCGTGGCACAGGGCCCGGCAGCTGCCACCTCGCCCCCCTGCCACTGCTAATCATCCTCCCGATCCTTCGTATCCACCTCCTCGCCTCCTCCTGTTTGTCCTTTTCCCCCTCCTCCCTCCTCACATTCTTCCTTTTCCTCCCCTCCTCCCCCTCCTCCTCCCCTCCTCCCCCTCCCCCCCTCCCCCCCCTCCCCCCCCTCCTCCCCCTCCTGCAGGGCCGCCCGAGCTCGACAGCCCTCCCCCCCCCTGACGGCTCCTTGGCTCGGCGGTGTGACTCGAGCCCGGGCCTGGGACGATCCGCTCCGTGAGGCCGCCCCTGCTGCCGACGGCGTATACCCCAGACCCCCTCGAGTTATATGGCAAAATCACGACGCGGGAGGTTTTTACCTAACAGCGAAGACTGATAGGTTTCTAGTTGACTCAAAAGAGCTCACAGATCACTCCACAGGGGGGTCCGGGCAGGTGTTGGGAGTTGCCGGGCGGCAGGTGCCGGGCTCGTTTTTCGCCAACAGTCACACACTTCGTGCTCTTCGATTTCCCAGAACTCCATTCCCAGGCCACATTCTGGAGGGCCGAATGCAACAGTCACACACTTCGTGCTCTTCGAGTTCCCAGAACTCCATTCCCGGGCCACATTCTGGAGGGCCGGATGCAACAGTCACACACTTCGTGCTCTTCGAGTTCCCAGAACTCCATTCCCGGGCCACATTCTGGAGGGCCGGATGCAACAGTCACACACTTCGTGCTCTTCGAGTTCCCAGAATTCCATTCCCGGGCCACATTTTGGATGCCCGGAGCCAACTGTAGGCCACTTCCTGGTCTTCGAGTTCCCAGAACTCCATTCCCGGGCCACATTTTGAATAGCCGGACGCAACAGTCATACAATTCTTCGTACTTGACACCCCAGAACCTTATTCCCGGGCCACATTCTGATTAACGGGATGCAACAGAAATGCATTTCGAGCTCTTTGGCATCCCAGAACCCCATTTCCAGGCCACATTCGGAATAACAGGATGCAAGAGTCAAACACTTCGTGTCCGAGACCTCCCAGAACGCCATTCCCAGGCTACATTTGGAACAATTGCACACAAGAGGTATACACGCCGGGTTATCTGGCTGTCTGGAACGGCAATCCCGGGATACATTCAGAGTAATCCCACGCGACAGTCACACACTTTGTGCTTTGTGACCTCTCAGAGCTTCATATCTGGGCGACACTCCTGGGCAACACTCGTTCTCACACTATCATGCAACACTCATACACAGTGTCCTTGTCGTCTTGTCACATCTCAACTTTCAATTCCCTGACACAACCGTCACACACACACACGCTGATTTCTCTGAGTTTTCACTAGGTTAGTCTCGGGTCACACTTTGGATGCCCGGAGCCAACTGTAGGCCACTTCGTGGTCTTCGAGTTCCCAGAACTCCATTCCCGGGCCACATTTTGGATGCCCGGAGCCAACTGTAGGCCACTTCGTGCTCTTGGACTTCCCAGAACTCCATTCCTGGGTATGATTTTGAATGCCCGGAGCAAACTGTAGGCCACTTCGTGTTCTTCGAGTTCCCAGAATTCCATTCCCTGGCCACATTTTGAATGCTGAGGCAGGCTGATGCTGAGGCTGAGGCAGGCTGAGGCAGGCTGAGGCTGAGGCCGAAGCTGAAGGCAGACTCAGGCTGAGGCTGATGCAGGCTGAGGCTGAGGCTGAAGCAGGCTGAGGCTGATGCAGGCTGAGGCTGAGGCAGGCTGAGGCTGAGGCTGAGGCTGATGCAGGCTGAGGCTGAGGCAGGCTGAGACTGAAGCCGAGGCTGAAGGCAGATTGAGGCTGAGGCTGAAGCAGGCCGAGGCTGAGGCTGAGGCTGAGGCAGGCTGAGGCTGAGGCTGAGGCAGGCTGATGCTGAGGCAGGCTGAGGCTGAGGCTGATGCAGGCTGAGGCTGAGGCAGGCTGAGGCTGAGGCCGAGGCTGAAGGCAGACTGAGGCTGAGGCTGAAGCAGGCTGAGGCTGAGGCTGAGGCAGGCTGAGGCTGAGGCTGAGGCTGAGGCAGGCTGAGGCTGAGGCAGGCTGAGGCTGAGGCTGATGCAGGCTGAGGCAGAGGCAGGCTGAGACTGAAGCCGAGGCTGAAGGCAGATTGAGGCTGAGGCTGAGGCAGAGGCAGGCTGAGGCTGCGGCTGAGGCAGGCTGATGCTGAGGCAGGCTGAGGCTGAGGCTGAGGCTGATGCAGGCCGAGGCTGAGGCAGCCTGAGGCTGAGGCCGAGGCTGAAGGCAGACTGAGGCTGAGGCTGAAGCAGGCTGAGGCTGAGGCTGAGGCAGGATGAGGCTGAGGCTGAGGCCGAGGCAGGCTGATGCTGAGGCAGGCTGAGGCTGAGGCTGAGGCTGAGCAGGCTGAGGCTGAGGCTGAGGCTGAGGCCGAGGCTGAAGGCAGACTGAGGCTGAGGCTGAAGCAGGCTGAGGCTGAGGATGACGCAGGCTGAGGCTGATGCTGAGGCAGGCTGAGGCTTAGGCTGAGGCTGATGCAGGCTGAGGCTGAGGCAGGCTGAGGCTGAGGCCGAGGCTGAAGGCAGACTGAGGCTGAGGCTGAAGCAGGCTGCGGCTGAGGCTGAGGCTGAGGCTGAGGCAGGCTGAGGCTGAGGCTGAGGCAGGCTGATGCTGAGGCAGGCTGAGGCTGAGGCTGAGGCTGATGCAGGCTGAGGCTGAGGCAGGCTGAGGCTGAGGCCGAGGCTAAAGGCAGACTGAGGCTGAGGCTGAAGCAGGCTGAGGCTGAGGCTGAGGCAGGCTGAGGCTGAGGCTGAGGCAGGCTGATGCTGAGGCAGGCTGAGGCTGAGGCTGAGGCTGATGCAGGCTGAGGCTGAGGCAGGCTGAGGCTGAGGCCGAGGCCGAAGGCAGACTGATGCTGAGGCTAAAGCAGGCTGAGGCTGAGGCTGAGGCAGGCTGAGGCTGAGGCAGGCTGAGGCTGAGGCTGAGGCTGATGCAGGCTGAGGCTGAGGCAGGCTGAGGCTGAGGCAGAGGCTGAAGGCAGACTGAGGCTGAGGCTGAAGCAGGCTGAGGCTGAGGCTGAGGCTAAGGCTGAGGCTGAGGCTGAGGCTGGCTGATGCTGAGGCAGGCTGAGGCTGAGGCTGAGGCTGAGGCAGGCTCAGGCTGAGGCAGGCTGAGGCTGAGGCCGAGGCTGCAGGCAGACTGAGGCTGATGCAGGAGCAGGCTGAGGCTGAGGCTGAGGCAGGCTGAAGCTGAAGCTGAGGCTGATGCTGAGGCAGGCTGAGGCTGAGGCTGAGGCTAATGCAGGCCACTGCGACTGTCATCGCGAATGCGACTACGACTGCGAGAACAGCAGAACTCTACAACTGGATTATCATCTGAATCTTAAGGGGGATGCTTCCAGATGTGCTCCTACACATCGCTGTTAGGTTGCTTTGCCGGGATAATTCCTTATTTTTGGCCTCTGGGGGCCCTCACCGGCCCTCGGGACCGTCAAACAACGACGCAGGACGCAAAACCGGTCCCGGGGAACGGGTCGAGACCTCGGGGGGTCGACGTCATGACAAAAGTCATGACGTCGGGGGCGGCCAAGAGGGGAGCGATGACCAGTCAGAAGCCGGGCAAGGGCTGCGAAATCCGTGGCTGCTAAAGTCGACCTCCGGGAAGTTGTCTTCGTCCTTCCGGGAAGAAGCCCGCGGACTGTTTCGCGTGCCGCGCCTCGTTCCGGGAAGCTGCTCTCTTTCCTTCTGGGAGGGCCGTTTTGGCAGCCACGGTTTTAGCAGCCCTCGCCCAGCTTCCCAACCAGGGGGTGGGGATCCCATGGTGGGGGCCCCGATGTCCCCCCAGATTTCATGTGGCGCCTCTTCTTATCGAGGACGCCGGCGGCGCATCACCGGCCGCTCCCTGGGAGTTTGTCGAAGTGGTGCGCAGCATCGAACGTCGTGACGCGGTGCGTATGCCATGTATCGAAGACGCCTACGGCGAATCACCGCCGCCCCCTGCCTTTTTGGAAGCGCCTATGTGGCCGAACGTTGAGGCCAGACCTGCCAAGCTATCGGACCACGTGTTCCCCGAATCGGTTTGGAAAGCCTTCGGGGAACACGTGGGCATCTTGAAGGTCATCTTGGCCGTCTTGGAGGCCTCTTGGGCAAGCTTTGGGCGATCTTTGGGGCTTTTTGGGCCGTCTCGGGCCAGCTTCGAGCCAACTTCGGCCATCTTGGTGGGTTCCTGGCACGTCTGAAGCCGTCGGAAGCCGTTTGGGGGGCCTCTATGGGCCGACTTGGGGCCCGCTTGGAATGCTCCAGGGCCGTCTTGGAGGCCATCTTGGGCGTCTTGGAGGCCATCTTGGGCGTGTTGGAGGCCTCTTGGGCCCTCTTGGGGCCCTCTAGGGGCCATCTTGGAGGCCACTTGGGCCATGATGGGGCTCTCTTGGGGGCCTCTTGGGCGATCTTGGGGGCTTCTTGGGCCGTCTTGAGCCGTCGGAGAGCCGAAAAGGCGCAAATGCCAAAATCCTTCAAAAACCAAGGGAAAATCAATGATTTTGGCCTCTTCGGACTCTCCTGGAGGACCTCTTGGAGGCCTCTTGGGCCGTCTGGGAGGCCTCTGGGGGGCCTCTTGGGCCGTCTTGGGCCGTCTTGGACTCTCTTGGGCCGTTTTGGAGGCCGTCTTGGACCATCTCGGGCGGACTTGGAGGCCATCTTGGGCCAATCTTCGCGATTTTTTGAGGATGTCCCGAGCGAAACGGCCGTTTTTGGGCATTGACAGACGCATTTTGGGAAACGCGCGGGTGGCCGGCGGGACGGGCCGAAGCCCACTGGGGAGTTCTTTTAGAAAAAGAACCAAAACCAAAACTGAATCATCCAGCACGCCGTGCACCCCTGCAAGCAGGGGGTGACGCGGTGCGTATGCCATGTATCGAAGACGCCTACGGCGAATCACCGCCGCCCCCTGCCTTTGTGGAAGCGCCTATGTGGCCGAACGTTGAGGCCAGACCTGCCAAGCCATCGGACCATGTGTTCCCCGAATCGGTT